GTGTGTGTGTGTATATATATATACTTTATATATCCAGCACAATCATGAGAATCGTTTTAATGAAAGCAACGTATTTATTATAAGATAACGAGAAGTGTTGATCGCGTCACATTTCAATATTTCTACGTTTTCCGAACGCTTGTAAATATAATACTTTGGTGGCTTTGCGTTTGTTGAATATTATGAGGTTTTAGATGATAACGAGCTAAGAGCGCAGCGCAAAAAGAGGAATAAAAGAAAGAGAAGAGAGTGCAATTCTAAGGATCTCCGTACTTTCCGCGACTTTGAAAGGTTTTTGAAAGATTAAGTAACGACCGAGTAGAAATGATGTTTTATCTATTACGATAATTTTGATTGGCACTTGTTTAATGACTCGTTCATGTGTTCATTATATTTATTTTTCTAATTGAAAAATAAATCTCTCCGTATCTCTCAGAAATTGAGCAGGGATTCGTAGAAATGAGAGAGACGTTCGCTATAAAGTGAGATATGCATTTTACATAATCGTGTAAAATGTGCCGTGTAACAATCTTTTGTTGAATAGCAAAACTATGTATTTTGAGTAACAATTTGTCTCTCAGACAACTTATTACTCAAGAAGCCTCATTTTACATTCTCACATAAGCTAGATTACGATTATTAATGTTTTCCATGTAGAGTGCTTTATGTGAGATGGTATTCTGAGGTAGAGAATTTATTTTTTAATTGTATAACATAATGTTAGATGTGTATCGCGGTGATGTATCGGATTTCATTGTAAAGATGAAAGAAGAAAAAGAAAAACGCGATCGCGCGCGTTCTTGTTTAATCAGAACTGCTCGTTAATTTTTTCTAATATGTCGCACATTCCATTGTATCTGCCGCTCTTAATTACCTTTAGTTGTGGGCATTAGCTTCTCCGACCTAATATAGTATACCGCCCCCTTTGCTATTACTGTTATTTATAATGACGCAATATATTTATTAAACATTTAACAAGCAAGACGAAGATAATGAGATAAAGCTACATTTACAAATGATAAAAGAAATTCTTTTCACTACCGAATGTTTTAATTAGGTATCTTTCTAACGATTGCGTCACACATAAACGTGACTAATATCTTCTTGTAGAAATCTGATATAGCTTAGTTTTGTACAAGCTTTGATACTCGTACAAATATCATTTGATTAGGGATAACAAGATACCGTGTACGAAATTAATGTAATACCTTATGAGTTTTTCAAGCATAGACAGCGCGAGAATGGCGTTGAAATCTATCTTTGACTAAACTCGAATTATTTTATATATTTTTTAATTATATAAGCATATTGCAGTTTTACATGTCGCTTACTTATACGCTACATAAGTTGTAACATCGTACAACTTTTTTTATTTCCTACGCGTATGGACGTGTATACGTGTACGCTGTTTTTTTTTTTTTATACATATTCTTTTGAAATTTTTGGAAATTATTTACAGCCGTGAACCAATCGTCTTCTTTAATCGTACAGTTTCATGTTACAGAATACTTTTTAATATACATATATTATGTAACTCAAGTATAGAAAGCTATCGACAAAGATATGTTACAGCTTCTTTACATATAACATACGATACAATGTAGAATATTCTATTATTTAACATGGTATAGCTAATATGGCAGACTAGAGGGTACTACATTTCAGTTTCTTGTATAAATTAATATTATATTATCCCTAGATTGTCGTAAGAAAAACTCACATGGTATAAAAACAATGGAAGCATGCAGATATATAGTTCCTCCTTGTTATATATAAAATTGAAGATTTGTTATTAGGCAGTTTTAATTAAGCAATACCCAATGAGGCTTATAAATATAGTATTTAAGTCACACTAGTTATATATATAAATATATATATGTGGCTTCATATATATATATATATGATATATATAAAGAATGTGATACGTTATATGAGTTGCGTGTTGTGTGTATGACAATGAAAGAAAGAGAGAATTTGCGAGAGAACGCGAGGGAGTGAAAGAGAACGAAAGAAAGAGAGAGAAGGAGCGAGGGAGAGTGTGCATCTGCGACGTTTATATTGTGCTGCGCAAGAAAGAACGTGAACTATTCCAAGGTACGCCCTGCTATTACTTACCACCTATTATTCCAAATAATAACAGTATGTTCAAAATGCAACATCAAAAAAAAAAAGGAAATTACAGATATCATGAAATAAAATATTCTGTGCGGAAACATGAGGACGTATCATTATTCCGGACGTTTTTAGTGCTGAGGAAAGGTGAAAGACATATAGAGTCGTACTTTTGTGGATCAAATTTCTCATGCTCTTTCTTTCTTACATATATAAAAAAAATTGATTTGACGATGTGACGATGAGAAAGCATCGAAAAGTAAATGATTTATGGAAAAAAATAATTAAAAAAATGAATAGCTTGGAGTTCACTGTTCTTCGGCACAAGATAACTGTCCTGGCACCTTTCTACTCGCATCCCACGACAGACTCCTCGTTCCATCCTACTACTGTTTCCTTGACGTGCATACGTTCTTGTTATAGGGCATCCAACTTGTTTGCAATTCACTGCAAACATGATCGTTTCTGTTCGCAAGTACAGGTGGCAGTGTATCGAATGCAAATGTTGCTCTATTTGCGGCACTTCGGACAACGATGTAAGTATTTATTCCGCAATCTCTTTCGCAGGCTCTCGTAACGCCTAAACAATGAGTTTGAACGGTAATAGAAGCGCGCGAGCGAATAGTACGAATAATACGATATTGATTTAGATTTCATCGTAAGAGAATTGTTAAGAATTGTTATTGGAGAATCTTTTCGGATCACATTATGTTTACATTCTTAAACAATTTTAACTCGTCTTAAATAATGTCTTAAATAATTCCAACACTTATTCGTTATCGTTATAAATCGACGGATCCGAGTTTAACGCGCTGTCAGACGAATTTATCGGCATTGAAATTTGCAAGAATCGTTGAAAATAAATGTATTAATATTATGCGCTTTACACGACTATGGATTGATTTGATATTAACGGTATATTTGGCGAACTAAAATAGGATCAGTTGCTGTTCTGTGACGACTGTGATCGTGGCTACCACATGTATTGTCTGTCTCCGCCTCTTGCGTCACCTCCCGAGGGCTCCTGGTCTTGCCGCCTATGCATAGCCGAATTTCATCGCCGTGATTAAGTCCACTTTCATAGATAAGTCACGGAGCTATCCATTTGCTGTGGTATAGCGATCATCTTACTAGGAGAATTAGGAGAGTATTCACGGGCTCATCCATATACTATAGTATTACTTATACGGCGTTTACACACCGGCAAATTTGTTCGAGAAGAAGAAAAGAAAAACTGTACGGCAACTTCATTGATCTATTATTTATTATGAAATTTGCATTGATCATCAATTACCCGGTTAAATTAAATTATGTTAATGATAATGATAATGATAATGATAATGATAATAATAATAATAATAATTAGGAAGATACGTTTATATAGCATACTACATTAGATATCTCAGGCACTGGTGATCTCAACGAGATAAAGCTGTAAGGAAACACATATTTATAATTTAACTGAGGTAGCTTCTACGAATAGATGTATAAAGATATGCCGCAACCCAACTGTTAGCAAGGTTCCGTAAGTGGAACGGAGACAAAGAGATTACTAATTTTAAAGACAAAGACGGAGTTCGATTTACCGATGATGTTAGATTTTACATTCGTACTGAACAAAGTGTATTTTTTGCTCATTTTAGAAACTGACGCGTGTGTATATACACTCTACAGCGATATTACTAACTACGTGAACGAACGAAACGAACGATAGAGATTTAATTAAAGATCGCTAAATAGGACAATACTCTCCTAGTTCTAGATTCTACTCTACTCTTAGTCAATGATATTTGAAATTTTGTTGCTTTCCAAACTTTTACAGTTGCTTAAATTTAACGAAAATTTGGCGATCTCTCGAGTTTTCACATTAACTCTTAGCTCCTCGCTATCGGCTCGGGCCGCGTTTCATAGAAAAAAAGGAATACGGAAAAGAAAATGAAAGAATTCATATTCTAGATCATTGATATTAATAGTATTTGTTCCATGAATAGTGATAAATAGAATATTATCTGTTTCTCTGTATGTATCATGATACTAAAAGCTTTTACACATAGCTATTAGTAGCGGACATAGCTGTCATATACAGACTTGCAGTACTGGAAGAAAATTATATTCTACATGTTCTTCGTCATTTATAGCTCAGTATTTTTATATTTTATATATTAAATGTACTTAATTTAAGACGGCGCTGTGGGTGATATTTGGTATATATATTCGTTGATTAATATAAAACCTCCTTTTTCAATTTATCGATCTTATATTACCGCCTAATTGTATTATCGTTAGATACACTCAAATTTCTATCGACTCACTCTTAAGTTCTTTTTTTTCTAATTAGAGCGACGGATTTATATTTTATATTGCTTATTTTTAACATTATGTATACAAATTTGAAAATAAACATTAGTTTATACAAACCGGATTATTAAGTTTAGAGCAGTCTTATTGCGTGCCATTGTATACTTTTTATTCAACTTTCTCTCTCTGCAGGAGAAAGAAATATAACAAACAATATGACTCACGAACAGGTGCTATATTTCAGGGATTAGCTTTTCTTTCGAATGTTACGATTACTTTGTAATATTGGCAGCGATGTTTTAAGCCAAGGGGCACTACATTCTACGATTATAGTAAATAATTATTATCCACAAAATGTAATGTAAGATATTAAAAAAAGTTAGTAATCCGAAAAATATAAAATTTTTCATAAAAATAGCATTAACATAAATACATGTTGGATTGTTTATTTCAAATATTCCCATTTCTCGTTTTTCCATATAAATCAAGAAATATTCTTGCGATTTTTTTTAGCGCGATAGCTGTAAGGCATCAATTGTGTAATTTATACTTCCGTTAATCGATCTCGACTAGAATTTCAGTCAGATCTTTCCGCTGCAAATCGGGTACAGTGGCGTCTTTAGCTGGATAACCAACCGGCAGAAGTAACACTAACTTCTCATTGGATGGACGTCCAAGGATATTGCGTATTGCTGGTCCGCAATTCATTGGCGTAGATGTAAGAGTCACCAATCCGGTATACTATATTTAAAAATGATGTGCAATAAATTAAGTTAAATATAAACACAATCATTACATAAGTGAAGTATCACAAAGTTTATGAGATACAGTTCGTAATGATTCGTTTCAAAATTTTGTTAATAATTTGATCAGAGATCATTTTTTTCAAATTGATTGATTGATTTCCTTCTATTTAATAAATTAATTTATTTTAGTTAGATATATATATATATATTTGATTTTTATTTATATATATTTGATTTTTTAGTTATATATATTTGATTTTTCATTTGAATCATGAAAAAGATTCTTTATAGAAAAAAACGATTTGTGTTAACCTTTGATACAATCAACACAATTATATAATAAATTAATAAAATAAATAAAGTGATAAATGATATGTATAGATTCATGACTTTTGACATATATGATCGGGAATCGTCAAATCGTTATGTTCATGACTCATAAAATTGTCTTCAATGATATTAATGACAAGGAAATATTTTAATTCACCTGTATAGCAGTAATGAGAATTCCACATGCGATAGAAACGCTCAATTCATTATAATAATGAATCTTTTTCTGTCCATTTGGCAAAATGCCATAAGTTTGCTTGAACACAAGTATCAAGTATGGAGCTGTGGTGAGGTATTCCTTTATCCAGTTAGTCCTTAGCGGAAATAAGTCAGTTGTCCACTTTATACCCATCCTCTTTTTGTAATTGATTTTTTCCTCTTGTTCTACGATATCTCTGATATTTGATTTCGTAGTCGGATCGGATATCGCAATAAAAGTCCATGGCTCTGTATGCGCGCCGCTGGGAGCAGTACCTAAATAAAAAAAGAAGTATTGTAACTTGAAAAGATGAGATGCGTATACGTAAGTATCTTGAATCAACCTGTTTTAAGTACCTATTTCTAATATTCTAGAGTATTAAAGTCAATATTTTAACGCATAATTTATATTATGGATCATTTTTTTCTTTATTTTTATTTCTATAATAACTGTTTACATCTCTGAAAATGTTTGAAACATTGGATTTCAATTTTTTAATCGTACAGTGTTTTCTGAGTGAAATTTGAATTTTTAATATTGGAACAGATTTTATTTGATAAGTATCATTGAAATACCTGCGGCTCTTATAAGTTGACGAATAACTTCCTTTGGAACGGGATCGTCGCTAAAGAATCTTAAGGTTCGCCTCGCTGCAGCTATTCGATAAAATTCTGACGCACGAGTTAATAATTCCTTTTCGGATCTCCGGACGTTATGGTATGATATATGCTTAAGATTGTGTGATAAAGCGGGCTCCACTTCAAACGATCGTTCATTCACTTCTGGAAGATAGCCATATAAAGAAATTGTTATCTTATCAAAATGTTCTTATTGTTAAAATGTGTATAATTAATATATATATATATAT